CGCCAGGGAGGGGGGTCCAGCGCCGATCCGAGAATTCCGCGCGGACCTCAGAGTTTCTATGTTTATGTCACTTTTCGTTCCCCTATCATACGTTTCGTGGCCCACAGGGAGCCCCACCGAAGGTTCCGATGGTCAAGTCCGCGTGCCACTGCCACCTGATTTCGGCACACCTCGCGCGTCTCTTGGCCCCACAGGAGAACTCCATCGAAGGCCCCCGAAGCAGGGTCCTCGTGGCGGCATTGCGTTTCGACACACCCCTTCGCACGTTTCGTGGTGGCCTCACAGGGAGCTCCAAAACAGGCACCGGTGGGAGCTCATGGGAGGCCTCTCGGGGTCCTCTTGGAGGCAGTTTGGAGGCCACTTGGGGGCCGTTTGGGGGCCTCTTTTGGGGCCTCTTTTGAGGCCTCTTCTGGGGGCCTCCTGGGCGCCTCTTGAGGTCTCCTGGGGGCTTTTCACTGCGGAGGGGCTCGGATTTCTGGCTCGTGCTCCCCCTCTCTTGGAACCCTTTGGGGCCGGCCTGGGGCGCCCCTTGGGCCGCCCTGGGGCGCCCCTTGGGCCGCCCTGGGGCGCTCCTTAGGCCGTCTTGGGGTCCTCTCGGAGGCCTCTTGGGCCGTTTTTGGTCTTGAGGGCCTCCTGGGCCGCCTCGGAGCGTCGGAGCGCCGAAGAAGCGGGCACGTCGACACTGTTGCCTCTTGGGGCCTTCAGGGGGGAGGCCTCCAGGATGGCCTCTTGGGGCGTCTTGGAGGCCTCTTGGGGCCCTCGGGGGGCCCTCTTGGGCGCCCTGGGCCGATCTTCTGGCGTCCGGGGGCCCTCTCGGAGGCCGCCTCGGAGGCCGCTTGGGGCCCCGTGGGGCCGTCTGGGGGCCCTCCTTCGGCCCGGGAGAGGCCCGCGGGGAGACGCGCTGAAGCCCGGGGAGCACGCGATGAACCCCAAGAGTCGGGGGCGGAAAAGAGGGGGGTGATGACTAGGGGGGGGTGGATATCATGGCGCGGGCCATGATATTTCCCCAGATTTCATGGCGCCTCTTCTTATTTCATTACGTCCCTGGCCCCCCCGCTGGGCCGCGCACATGCCGCCGGTCATGATTTGCACCCCCACCTCTTTGACGCCCCCCTCTTTGCCGCTCCCGAAAGAGATTTTCGGAAATGTGGGTCTGGCCCCCTCATTCACCACCCACCAAACCACCCCAACCCAACCCCAAGCCCTCCATTTGCCCTCCATTTCCAGTGGGGGGTGAGTCGGGGAACGTTGAGCAAACACATGGGACCCGTACCCCCCCCAACCCGAAATTGGGGTCTCATTCGGGACTTCGGGTTGGGTTGGGGTGGTCTGGTAGGTAGTCACTCATTGGCTCCTCGGAACTGAGGACTGAGGCTCAGGGGATTGGGCAAAGGACCCGAGGACGCGCCCACTCCGTGCCCAGCGGCTCGGTGGCGGACATCTCCCGACTGCTCGACTCTGCCCCTGCTCTGTTCGGCTCGGCTCGGCGGTGCCCCAGCTTTGCGAGATTCTGGCCGGATCCAATCGAGTCTGCTTGACTCCTCTCGACTCCAGTCGACCACTTTCCTCGCGTGCACGGACACCATGCGCACCCGCCGTGCGCACCCCGCGGGCGCAACCCACACTCGCCATCCGCATACAGTGCAGTTTTTAACACATTCTCCGCGTGCGGATCATGTATAACAAATGCAGGGATTTAGTATTAGAAACAACGATGAGTTCGTGCGTAAATCTATTCATACATTAGTCGTGTATTAAAATCCAATGCGTAAATATATTCATACATTGGTCGTGTATTAAAATCCAATATTTTTAAACATCCTATGTGTTAAAACTGCTCTGTAGAGAGCCGGCGCTCGCAGCAAGGTCAAATCCTCTCTCGCTGGGGCGCCTGCGCCCCCGGACGTTTCAGAGATGAGCACGGGCTCGACGAGGGAGCCGCGTGAGCTCGATGAGCAGTCCGAGCAACAGGCAAGCGAGTGGCCTCGTAACGTGCCGCCAGGGTGGCGCACGTGTGTGACGAAACGTGCGGCAGGGCGATGCAGCACACGGTGACGTGGGGCAGAGCACCGCACGTTGCACAGTACAGTGCAGCACGGCGAGCCGCAACGCGACAGCCAAGAAACGTGCACGTCAACTGCCACGCACTCTAGAGCGATCCGTCTCGAGGTCAACAATCAAAGAACATACAGGGCACAGCAGACAAACTCGAAGTTCCACCAACCGCATATCGCAATGCACAGCACTACAGTGCCAATCTGGTAATGCACACATCAACATAACAAAACCGAAATAACCGCATGCAGGGGGCACATCAATGACAGCATTTCCCCCAACAGTGCTTGCACTTAGGGGTTCGGACTTCTCCTCCAAGGAACCGGGCCTGCCTGTAGGTCTGGCGCCGCCTCGTCGCCGCCCGTCGTCTGGGCCTGTCTGTCGGTTTGGTGGCTAGGCTGCCGCCCCGTCGCTGCCGTCGCCGCTCGTCGCCGCGCGTGCTTGGGGGGGTGGGGCACGATCCGTGTCATATAAAACCAAGTGGTCCACTCGCGTCGGCCGCGCGCGCATGTCGAACTCTTCCCAAAACCTTCATCACCGACGCGAGGACGCCGTCATCGTCGTCGGCGTGATCAGCATCGGCGTCCGCACTGGCCGCGCCTTCGTCGGTGCGAGCATCGTCGCCAGCATCGCTACTATCATCATCGTGTATGCCGTCGTCGGCGTTGCCATGATACCGCGCCCGCCCGAGCCGCCGACTCGCAGTGAAGTGACCGCTGGGATGCGCCCTGCGGTCAGCGCCACCGCGGCCGCGTCGGTGGCGCCAAACTAGCTGGGCCGCTGCGCGCGCGTACTAGGTGGCGCGGCCGCAGAGATGCAGCCGCCAACGCCAAGCATGCATCGAAATTGCCACAACATGGATTTTGCAAGCCAAGTTGCGGGCTGGTGGGTGGGATATTTGCAAGAGCATGGGACGTGCCAGCTCGCTTGTTTTAATTAATTCTCTTTTCTAAAAAAGAATAGACTCTACCCCCCCCCGGCGTTATCACCCCCCCGCGTCCTGTGTAAATCACATATGATTCTGACCACATGTCCATCCTATCTATGAAATCGCGATGTCCCAGGCCAACCGGTATCCCCCCCGTGCGGTTCCCTGGAAAAAGACGATACGCGGGGACAGTTGTTGTTCTAACGTAAGACTTTTTCGCGAACCCCTTGCAAACAATGGGACGAAGTGCACGCGCGCGTGTCGTCGCGCGCGCATGCCGAAATCCTTTCAAAAACCTTCGGTGCCGGAAGGATTTCGCAATCGAGTTTCCAAAACACAGAATTTCGCAACACTGATTTGCTAAAAAAGCTTCCGCGCGAGCTCTTGCGAAATCTTGAGAAAACCGTGGGTTTTTCAATATTTTCACGAAGTGCACTCAAACGGGCTTTGCGCGCGCATGTCGAAGTCAGTCGAACGCCCTTGCGCGTGTGCCGTCGCGAGAATCCTCTGCAAAAATAATACGAAGTGCAGGCGCGCGCGTCGTCGCGCGCGTACGCCGAAAACCTTCAAAACCCATCGGTTTCGGAAGGATCTCAAAATCGTGTGTCCAAAAAACATACAAAATCACAAGGTTTCGCAACACGGATTTTCAACAAAAGCGTGCGCGCGCGCTCTTGCGTCGTCGTCGTCGTCGTCGTCGTCGCCGTCCTCCTCCCGCGTCGTCGTCGTCGTCGCCTACGTCGTCCTCTGTCTTTCCTCGTGTTCGTCGTCGTCGTCCTCTTTGGCGTCGTGGTCGTTTCCGTCGTCGTTGTCGCCGTGGTCGTCCTTCCTCCTCCTTCCTCGTCGTCGTCGTCGTCCGTCGTCGGCGTCTCGTCGTCGTCCCTCCTATTTCGTCGCCGTCGTCGTTGTCATCGTTGTCGTCGTCGTCGTCTTCCCTCCCTCGTCGTTGTCGTCGTCGGCGTCGTCGTCCTTCCTCCTTCTTCGTCGTTCGCGTCGTCGCCGTCCTCCTTCCTCCCTCGTCGTTGTCGTCGGTGTCGTCATTGTCGCCGTCGTCGTCCTCCCTCCTCCCTCGTCGTCGTCTTCGTTGGCGACGTCGTCGTCGTCCTCGTCGTCGTCGTCGGCGTTGGCGTCGTCGTCGTCTTCGTCGTCGTCGACGTCGGCGTCGTCGTCGCCGCCGCCGTCGTCGACGACATCCAGCACCCAGCACTCATCGCAATCGCTCCAGCATGGGTTTTGCAAATCAAGTTGCGGGTGGGCGGGTGGGATGAGTGCGCGAGCAGTGGAGTTGACAACTTCAAGTTTGGCAAATGGATTACACCTCTTAGGTTACACCACCGGGTTTGCTCCATACGAAATGCCAAACACAGATGGCTAGACTTACCCCGTTTGGGGTCCACGCTGGCTAACATGAACCTACAGCAGTGCAGCGCGAGCGTGTGTCAGGCTGTGGTTTTGATGTCGCGGTTTAAGGGATCCAGAATGTCGCTGCACTGCTGCGGGCCCTGCTGGTGTAGTCGTGTGTATTTCCCAGCCGAGCCAGACTCGTTCTGCCTCTTTTTGTAGGGCCTTTTCAATTATATGTGCATCATTGGCTGTCGTGTTGGGTAATGTACATACTCCTGTCAATTTCACCCCCCTTTTCTGTTCTTCGTCTGCCTTTAATGTAAGGTCTCCTGGTTTCCTGTACGCTTGACCGTCTTTTTTGAAAGGGACCTGGCCGACGACCATGGATCGTGTCTACGACGGCCCCACACGCAAGATGTTGTGATATTGAAGATGCGGATTCATAGCATGATGGGGAGCGTGATGAGGATGAGGAGGATGAGGAGCATGACGATGAGGATGAGGAGGATGAGGCTGAGGAGCATGATGAGGATGAGGATGATGAGGAGGATGATGAGCATGATGAGGATGAGGAGGATGAGCAGGATGATGAGGGGTTTCCGAATGAGGTCTCCACAAGCCGCCAGATGTGCTCTGAGTAGGCACAGCTCTCCTGGCCGGAGCGACCTGCCAGGTGCTGCCCCTGCTCTGGCCCGCCTTCAAAGACGTGGTGCACCACTGCCCGCGGTGCCTCAACGTGATCACGCGGACCCCCTTTCACCCGAGATTGGGAAGCACAGCGGAGAATGTCAGTGTCGAGTAGCAAGGCTCCATCATGAGACGCGCCTGCGTGTTGGCCCCACCAGGCCATCCAGAACCGATACCAAGGCGAATTGCTGGGAGAAGAGATGTAGCGAGGCATATGGGTGAAACACGGAGGCCAACAATGGTAAACCTAGAGATCTTTGGGAGCATTTTTGAGGCCTCCTCTTGGAACCATCTTTTGGGGGCCCTGTAGGGACCTTTGACCCCCTCAAAGGCTCTCTTGGGGGGGCCTCTTGGGGCCGTGTTGGAGGCCGTCGAGCAAAAAAAGGGGACGGTAGCTATTAGGAAACAGCCCAGTGGTTCCCCCGCTAGAAGGGGGGCCTGACGGCCCCCCGCCAACCCCTCCTTTCCCCATCAGGGGGGGGGTCGTTTTTTCTGCACCCGTTCTCTTCCCCCCACACATTGCAGAGGGAGGGGAGAGGGCCCCCTCCCTCCTCTCCTTTGCTCCAGGGGGAGGGGGGGCCTGCTGTTGGACGTCCCCCTCCCCGCGTTTTCGCCGGAGAGGGAGGGGGCTTAACAGCTCCTTTCGTCGCCTGTTTGGCGGCAGGCGGGGTGGAACGGGGCCCGCTCTGGCGTGCGGGAGGTGGATGTCGGGGTTGAGGTGTTAGGATCGGGGTTCGGATGCTTGATCTAAGGTGTTAGGGTCAGCGTGTCAGTGTCAAGGAGGCTCAGGGCCAGGGGATGGCGTTTCGGGTGGTTGTGCGTTAGGGTTGGAGTGTTGGATAGATTTGGTATGCTAGGGTGCTCGGTGTCAGAGTTAGGGTGTTAGTGGGTTCGGGCTCGGTCAGGGAGGCTGGCCTGCGAGGGTTAGGGCGTCTGGGTGTTGGGGCGTTAGGGTCAGGGGGGTAGGGTGATGGTGCTCAGGATCGGATTAGGGATAGTGTCTTAAGGTTAGTTAGGGTGCTCAGGAATAGGATTAAGGTTAGGGGATTTGGATTCGGGTGTTTCGGGCTTGGGGTGTATATGGTTAGGGAGTTAGGGTGCTAGGGTGCTGGGCTGTAATGGTGGTCGTGCTGTAGGTTTTCGGGTCAGGTGCTTGGGGTCAGGGATAGGGCGTGTCGATCAGGTTTATGGTGATTAGGGTGTTGCGTGCCTAGTAGAGTTAGGGTCACGAGATGTTGGTTAGGGTGTTCGATTGCTCTTGTAAATTTGTGGTTTGAGTGTTCGGATTCGGTTGTGAGGGGTAGGGTGTTAAGGTGCTTAGGGTTAGGTTGCCAGGTCTATGGTGTTAGGGTGTTAGGGGGTGTCAGGGTGCTATGACACTTATGTTTAGGGTGTTAGGGTAATGGTGTCAGTGCTTTAGGTTTTAGCGTGTTATGATGTTAGGGTTTGGCGCTTGTGGTTAGGGCTCGAGTGTTAGGGTTTGAGGGTGTCAACGTGTTAGGGTGTTTGGGTTCGGGGGCTTCTGGTTAGGGTTAGGGTTAGGGCGTTTGGGTGATTTTTAGGGTTAGGATGTTAGGGTCAGGGTGTTTGGTATTTAGTGTTCGTTTGCGGGGTTTCAGAGATCGGGTGTTATTGGCCAGAGTAGGTACGTCAGCGTGAGATTGTCACGGTCAGGGTGCCAGGGATCTGGTGTGATGGTACGGTGTTTTGGTTGGGCTAGGGTGTTAGGGTGATGGTGTTCGGATCACCGTGTAGGGCCCAGGTTAATGCGCAGGGCTAGGTTTGGGAGTTCGGGGAGGCTTTTCCGTAGCAGACGGGGGAGGATCGAGTACCAGCCCCTGTGGTCCTTGTCTTGGCTTCAAGGGGGGGAGGACTTATCCCCCCCTTGGATGATGAATCGGTAAAGGGGGGTCCAGGACGGCGGACCTGGGAACGGGAGGAGGGGGTCCAATATTTCCCCCGCCTCGGGGGCATCCAGCGGCGCGCCCTCCATGATTGGCCTTCCCACCCCGTCGGAGCCCGACACATCGCTTCCTGGGGCCGTCTTTGGACGATCTTGCCACGATCTTGGGTGAGGTTTTTTGCCCGTCTGTGAGCCCTTCGGGGCCCTTCCTGGGTCTCTCTTGGGCGATCTCGGAGCCATCTTGAGGCCTCAGGAGCCAATCGGAAGCGGAAAGGCGAGCGAGCAAGCATCATTGAACAAACAGTCGGTTGTTTTATGGATTTTATGTTCTTGGGGGTATCCTCGAGAGGCTCCCTCGCAACTTGGAGCCGTCCCGAGGCTGCCTTAGGGCCTCTTGGATGCATGTCGGACGCCTTCTTGTTGCATTGAGTGCAATATTTGGCTATCAGGGGCCTTCTTGGAGCCACCTTGGAGCCACCTTGGGCGCGGCTATGGGTCGCGCCCCCCTTCCCTAGTCTAGACCCAGGGAGAGGGGGAAAGGGGAGGGGTCAATTTCTCAACGGGGACGCTACAGGCTGTCTCGATCATTCCCACCCGCGATCCCAACACGTCACGCAAGCAGCACCCGAGGTACAACACAGGCAGCAGTCGCTATACAGTGGGCATGGACGCCGTGTGCTGGCCACGTGCGCCCTGCACGACAGGCGCGCCAGGTGCGCCAGTCGCGCCGGACGCTCTAGTTGCTCGAGGTGCGCCAGGTGCGCCACGGACGCGTGGCCAGCCAGGTTCCGAGCCGGGAATTTGTACATGACCACCGCCTGGAGGTTCAGTTTTCGGAGCCTCGGCAGTCGGTGGAATGCACACATTCGGGCCCCCGGGGGCCGAAGCATATCCATATCCACCGCCCGCTGGGGCACCAGGACGTCGGTTCCCAGGCGGTAGATATGCGTAAATCCCCGCCTCGCACAGGTGCTCCGGGTGCGCAGAGGCAGCAGACGCGCGCCGGTTGCGCCAGGCGCGCCCCGTATGCCAGATGAGCCGCGTGCGCCAGGCGCGCCGCGTACGCCATGCGCGCCAGGCGGGCGGCGCTCGCCGGGCGCACCAGGGAACTCGGCAGCACACAGCAGACGCTGCACGCTTTGGAGCTGGCTGAGGGGCTGAGGTGGCCCAGCGTGGGTTCTGGCCAGCAGGAGGGGGGAGGCATGGGCCCTCTCCCCAGAGACCCAGCGCACTGAGCAAGCATCAGGGCGGAGTTTTTCGCAGTGTTCGGCCTCTCGGGGCCCTCGCCGAGCCCCAGGACTGTCAAGAAACGACTCAGGATGAAGAACCGGTCCCGGGGAATGGGTCGAGACTTCCTGGGACCCCGTGCGGAAAAAATCACGGCATCGGATCTCTGGGTCGTCGCAACGGATAGACGCGGCTCAAATATCTGGTCGGTGCGGGCCCTGGGAGGGGCCTGAGGACAGATTCCGAGTGGTTATCCCGGGGCCCATCCAGAGCAGACCCCACCTGGCGCTTGCAAGATATCATCCCGCCAGCCCTGAGGACAGCGGGTGCAGACTGGCGGCGGGGTGGTCAGCAGGATATGCGGTTCGTGTACAGTCGGGATCACATTGCAGGTCTTTTTCACAGGGATGACGGGCCCGTACTCTCTAGAGTTAAGTCGGGCATGTCCCCCTACAGGAAGAATATTCAAGAACAGTCCAAACATAGTCTGGTGACGATTTTCCGTGCTCCTGCTTCATACAGGCATTTTGTTGAATGCTTATTTTCATATTTTTTTGTTGAACAACCGCCTGTAGGAGGACATGCCCGACCTAACACTAGAGAGTACGACCCCCTCGCACCACATGTCAAACACCAGTGCAAACTGATCGTGGGGCGCCCGCCCATGATCCAGATTTTGCCGCAGCGTGTGTTTTGCATTGTCTCGTCAAGCATGGTCCAGGGGCACACGACTCCTGGTTGGCAGCTAGTTGGGTGGGAGAGGGGGTGTTTTTCAAGAAGGGGTGGTGGTGAACCCCTCCCCGAAGGGGAACGAGGGTGGGTTGGAACCGAGAACTCCTTAAACCGCCTACTACGCCCTGAGGACTGGTCTGACCTTAGGTGGAGCAGCCTCTCTTGCAAAGCCACGTGTCTGTCGCGTCCCACTGACGATTTCCATGATTACCTGAACGGCTCCCCCCTGCGGCCAGCCTTCACTTTTGATTGCCTGTGTGCTTGGGTTGGTAGGATTGGTTGCTTAACTGGCAGATTGGTAGGCCAGCTTGCATCTCGGTTGGATGCCTGGTGGGCTGATCGGCTGATTGCTTTGCTAGCTGGTTGAATGGCCAGCTGGTCTGTTGGTGGGTTCGGGGCGCTGGTGTAGCCTTGACCACCAGGAAAAAATCGAGCACCAGGAACGTACCGAAACGCGAGGGTTTTCACGTGTCGGGCCCTGGGAGGCGATGCTCGTTTGACACTGTTTCGACACTGTTCGGGGTGCCCGAGCTCAGTCCTGGGATCTGGTTCTGAAGTACGACTGGCGCAACATGGCGCTGGCGTCTTATTGTGTCAAGAGATTGTGATCCTGTGGGCGTGGACCCGCGCTCCGCCACGAGGAACCGTTGGCCCGGGAGCGTCAGGGAGCGCCCGCGGGAGCTCTCGGGCGCCCACGGGAGTGCGAGGAGTGCCGCGGGAGCCCAGGGAGCGCCCGGAGAGCGCCCCAGAGGCCGTTCGGGAGCGCCTCGCAGACATGCGGTGTCTGGATTTGTCCCAAGTCGTCGTGTTTTGATTCGTTGGTCTGCCGATCGGCGCGGGCCCTCGCATCCCCCCCCCTGGAGTAGACCTTGGCTGTTTTCGGCGCCCGTTTCGAGCAGGCGGAGTCCCTCCCCCGTGGGACGCACTGTTTGCAAGCAGTCGCACTAAGCAGAGGTCCAGGGCCAGACCCCCCCCCCTCCCCACCCCCCCTTTCCGCCCAGAGTCGAAACGCCGAATAAAAAGAACGTTCACCTGGATTTGTCTTAACCCTCCTGCGCTGGATTCCTCGCTTTGAGTAAAGCGCTGCGGTCGCCACCTTCCTCCCCGCCTTCCTCGTCCTCTCTCCCCTGCTGCTCTCCGCCCGCCTCCTCTCTCCTGCCTTCTGCCCGGCCTGTGTCCGCTCGCCAGCCTGCCTCCT